CTCCAACATTTTGATTAACACGGGATCCTGCGTGGTCTCAGGGAGGGGGCCAGACACCGTATCAGTTTTGCTTGCGTTATCCACTCCTGTCCAAGGGATAGTTGGTCAAAAGGCAAACTCACGATAAATTGATGGACGATGTGTCTGGACACAGGGCTACTTACTTGAGTATCCGGGCGATTGCAGCTTAGGCCAGCATCCTCGGTCAAGTCCGGACGCATCTCCTGCTATCCGAAGAACAATTTGTACATCTCGGCGGGTGTCAAACACATGAAGTGTTGAAGAGCTCGTGGTCCCTCCGGATTAAATTCCCACAGGCGGAGGGGGCGACGTTTGCAGGGCAGTAGGCGCCGGATCAGCATAACCTGTACCACTTCGACTAGATTGATCTCCCTTTCTTGGAGGCCTCGAATCCGGTCCTGCAACAGGGGTACGTCTTTGGACGGCCCCCAGTCACGCCCCTTGTTGACCCATGACGTCAACTATTGTGGAGGGCCCGAGCGGAAAACGGGCGGCGGCCTCTGCCTGCTGCCCCTGGGAGCGGTGATATAGAACCACTCCTATTGCCACAAGCCGAGCTCCTCCTGAAAAGAGCCCTCGGGCCATGGAGCATCGGCCCTCTTGCTTATGACCGCCCCTCCGCACTCTGCCTGACGCCCCTCAATCATCTTCGGCTCCACATTGAAGGTTTTGAGCCACAAGCCGAAGTGAGGGGTAGTGTGGAGGAAGGCTTCGCAAACGACAATAAACGATGAGATGTGGAGGATGGACTCCGGAGCCAAGTCATGGAATTCCAGCCCATAGTAAAACATGAGCCCCCTCACGAAGGGGTCCGTCGGGAAGCCTAGACCCCGACGGAGGTGAGACATGAATACAACACTCTCGCCGGGCTCGGGAGTAGGAATAACTTGCCCTCGGGCAGGCAACCTATGCGATATCTCATAGGTCAAGTACCTGGCGTCTCTCAGCTTTAACACGTCCTCTTCCGTGATGGAGGAGGGCATCCACCGGCCCTGTAGATCAGAGCCGAACATTGTCGAAGGTCGAAGGTACCCGAATCTGGAGCCCTGGGTGTTGGAACTCGGGGGCGACGGGCAGATTCGATTGAGGATTGAAGAAAAGGAACTGGCCTTGGTCTCATTATAAAGAGGAAGAATACCGAGAGCCGTCCCCGTGACTGTTTGGAACCCGCCTTCGATGGAGGGGCCGTGGCAACGGGTGCAGTTGGGTTACTCACGTCCGTAATTATGGGAATCCCGGAATAAGGGGAACACGATCTCTGCTTCGACAAGACGTGCCAAGGAAACCGCTTCGCTAAACGTGCTGAGGTGGTACAATAAAAACGATTTAAGTAAAAGGCTTGGTAGTGGTGTGACGTCACACCATCAAATACGTCAACAGATTGAACTTGTGTAAATATTATTCTCTCTACGGTGGTATGTGGAAATTATTTTTGCAGAGCAGGACACTATCCTGGTGTTCACAATCTTCTATAAATTATTCGGAGAAGGAACCCGCCTTGCAATGCCGAAGACAATATGCGCGCCGGACTCGTCGTCATTGAAGCCTGGTTCAGGGGCTACTGAGGGACTCCCGGACTAGGGGGTATCCGGATAACCGGACTATCATCATCGGCCGGACTCCAAGACTATGAAGATACAAGATTGAAGACTTCGTCCCGTGTCCGGATGGGACTTTCCTTGGCGTGGAAGGCAAGCTTGGCGATACGGATATGTAGATCTCCTACCATTGTAACCGACTCTGTGTAACCCTAGCCCTCTCTGGTGTCTATATAAACCGGATGGCTTTAGTCCTTAGGACGAACAACAATCATACCATAGGCTAGCTTCTAGGGTTTAGCCTCCTTGATCTCGTGGTAGATCTACTCTTGTAACACACATCATCAATATTAATCAAGAAGGACGTAGGGTTTTACCTCCATCAAGAGGGCCCGAACCTGGGTAAAACATCGTGTCCCTCGTCTCCTGTTACCATCCGCCTAGACGCACAGTTCGGGAACCCCAACCCGAGATCCGCTGGTTTTGACACCGACAATGGCTACGAACTAACTGAAGTCGCATTGTTACTGAATCATGCCTATCGTGCACTATGAAATTGAACTTATGCATCAAGCGAAGCTGACCTACATAGTATAGGAAAAGAAGTTAGCAGAGTAGACAACAAGGTATAATGCTATTCTTTTTTGCAACTGAACTGATGCATCAAGTGAAATTGACCTGCAACAATGCCATTTTTCGGAGGATAACGACAAACAAATGTGATACACTAGGGTTTTCTGCAGACAAAGAAGAAAACTTCCGTTATTCAAAAATCAAATAACACAAGTAAAAACCAAGTGGCCTACTGTTTTTCACTATGCAAAAATGATTCATCAACTTTTGTCCTACTGTATTTTGAATGCACAAAACTAGTCAATGAGCAGATTGGCCTGCTGAAAATCGACACTTTGGACTGCAGCCATATTTTTACTGCACAGAATGGTGCTCTGCAAAATCTAAGGAAGCAGTCGGCCCAGGTGAAGAAGAAGAGACGACCTATAGAGCCTGACACTGGGCGGAGGCAATTAGAGCCAGCAGAGGCAGAGGCACTCTTGCTGCATCGTCCCATCCATCTAGTGAGGTTGGCCCAGACAGATAACCACAAGTCGGAAAGGAAAACTAGACGAGATGAACACACGTGATCTGTGATTGAAGGAAAAAATGTAGGAACGTCATTTGAATTTTTATTTGTTAAGACTTGATACCGTAAATCAGACGTGGCCAATCAACAATCCAAAGTTTTGCTTTTTCCTGTATATTGAACTGTGATGATCTCTGTGACATTCGTTCATCTAGTAATTAAGAACATAAATATTCATACCAAATGGGTTTATTTTTGTTGACCTATATCCTCATATACACAGGCGAGGCAGCCCAAATGGGTTTATTTTGCTGGCCTTGTATTTCTACTTGAACCAGCTCACTGTGATTACCTATAATTGATGATACTGGGTAGAGATTGTTTTTCCTGGTAAAAGCTTTGCCTCTAGAGAAATTGATCTCTTTATTTGACATGATTGATGGACTCTGTATAGTAGGACAGTCATGATGTAGTAGTGATTTAATGTCGAACATCAGGTTGATAAGATGATTATTTTTATATTTGGAGCAGCACTAGCTCTCCAGTTCCACGGATGACACCGATGACGACGTGGACATGCACCCAAGCTAAGGAGGACATCGTTCAGTCCGAACTCGACCTCTACTGTGAGGTCGTCCACCACAACTCCCCATAGAAGGTCGATCCCTCTTGACTGTGACATTTTTTTCAAGCTATCGCGCCTCCGTTGTTGCCTAGTTTCTAAACTAAACTTGATGCGGGAGATGTTTTTGGACTAAACTTGATGCAGAAAATTATCACCTTTGGCAAAAAATGTCCTTTGACAACTTAATTCACATACTAGCTCATGTAATTTTTTCTTCTTTTCTAAGAACCGATCCTGCTTTCTAAACTGGGTCTATGGTTTTTGGGAGTGTCTATTTTTTGTTTCCTAGTTTATGTTTTATTCCCCAGCAAAACAAAACAGTTTGTGCAGTTTATTTTCTCTTGCTCAACAAGGTTTGTTAATGATCACTGATGAGTAGTCTCCTCTGGCTATGACTTTCCTTGATTTTTATGCGGCACTGTGAGTCTGTGATCCTTTGTGTCGCGAGCATTTAAATTTCTTTGTTTGATCGTTCATGAAGTTTGAGATGTGTTTTTATATCATGAGTAATGCAGCAGTTGCCATGCTGGTCACAAGGCACAACTTTTACTATTACAATCCAAGATGCTTTTAACTGGTTCTATGCTTTTCCATGTCAAGAAGTGCAAGCTGGGATTTCTTTTGCCTTTCTGAAGTTGATGGTCTTGTTTAGTATAAGTAGGTTTGGGACACTTCACACTTTTGAAGTATCTAGTTTTTGCACTGTAGTTGATGGTGTTTCAGTTTACACATGATCTAGCTTACTTTACCTATGATTTCATACTTCACCTACGAAAGGGGTCTTCTTTGGGATGTATTCAGCTTAAATTGCCGACCTTTTTAGAAAAGGTTGCTGACGTGCAGTACATCTATTCTTTTTCCTTTTTTGCAAACCAGTAAAAAACTTCCTGTTGATTTAGACATGTGAAGGTTCCAGACTTGCAGCACATGTATTTTTTTTGCCAACCATCAAGACATCTTTTTTTACCAACCAGCAAGACATCTATTGTCCATTAGCAAATAAACCATTCGATCTCTGTGGCCCAATGCAGGCTTATGGGCTATATGTTTGATTCAATTGCTAATGAACTTTTAGATGCCATGTGCATCACATGTATACCAAAACCTTAATAAAAGAACATACTACTTCTCTTAAATAACAACCCTTGGTGCTCTAATCTATCTCTGTTGAGCAATGAAGCCTAACGCTTTATCCAGTGCTATTAGCATTTTGTAATATAGTATTAATGCATATTATCAAGTGGTACGAGAACTGTGTATAACTCGATATTTATGAGTATCTTCAACTGCTGAGTGCTGACTGCTTTATAGTCCATGTTGAATCATTGAAGGCTTGCATACATTCTCTAGTGTGGTTGGCTTCATACACCACATTTACTATATCAAAGTGGAGGTTCCGCCTGTATTTTATGTATTATTTCTGCCTCAGTGCATGATTGTAAATACTTACCATTAGAAATTGGAGACATCTTTTTATGTCCAAACTGACTCTGTGGTTCTTTTCGAATGCCACAGGAGATGATAGGTCAAGGTAGAGAAAACCAAACCTTGGAAGTCGCAGCTTCCATGATCTTGACGGTTGTCATTATCTGGAGAGAGAGGTTCGATCCGTGGGATGTGGCGGTTGACCAATCAGTAATCAGGTTGGGTTGGGTGGGGATTGACCCACCTATCACCCTTCCCTATCAATCAAGCATCGAGCACAGCTGCGGCACCATGTTCTCCAACACCGCTGATGCCTCCTCCACCTCCAAGCGATGGCTATATATCTCTGGCATCCTGCTCGCCACCGTCTACGCCGCACCCCACGGCTGCCTCTTTTCTGGTGAAGATGGAGCTCTGTGAGCAGTGTGTTTGTTTTCTGGTGACCAACGATGTTCTTGAGAGGACACACTCCCATCTCACTGGCAAGCAGCACATTGGTTATGGTCCGGTTAGGGATTTCCTTTTCGAATATAAGGTCAGTAACTAACAAGTCGTTGCATGAAAAGAGAACAATGACCTTTGGCTATCAGGCTTAGTCGCTCGATTGCTTTTCAGGCTGCAAGAGAGCGGAGAGGTTTGCAAGGTAGGCTTTTTGACTTGGTTGGAGCAACCAAAGGATATGCCCCAAGATCCACGATCCAGCCCTCAATCAAAGGTATCTGTCTACCAAATCTAGCCGTTTTTTACCCTGGGAGGTGTTGTTTCTTTATCCTCCAACCAAGAAAATTTGATATGTATGTATATTCAACTTAATTTCTTGCAGTTATGCTGCCCGTCTTCTGTGCTTCTTCTCTCGCCTCCTTATACAACACACTTGATGAGCCCGAGTCGGAGGTGTGCCGTGAGCAAGGCGTGCGTCTGGCAGCGCCTGCCCTCTACGCGTCTGGCAGATTATTTTCTCTTGCTCAACAAGGTTGTTAATGATCACTGATGAGTAGTACAGTTTTCTCCTCTGGTTATGACTTTCCTTGATTTTTATGCGACACTATGACCCTTTGTGTCCCGACCATTCAAATGTCTTTGTTTCCTCCTTCATGAAGTTCGAGATGAGTTTTTATATCATGAGTAATGCAGTAGTGGCCATGCTGGTCACAAGGCACAACTTTTAATTTTACAACCCAAGATGCTTTTAACTGGTTCTATGCTTTTCCATGTTAAGAAGTACAAGTTGGGATTTTTTTTGCTTTTGTGAAGTTGATGGTCTTCTTTAGTATAAGTAGGTTTGGGATACTTTACAGGTTTGAAGTATATAGTTTAAGCACTGTAGTTGATGGTGTTTCGGTTTACACTTGATCTAGCTCACTTTGCCTCTGATTTCATACTTCCTGCTGATTTCATACTTCACCTATGAAAGGGGTTTTCTTTGGGAGGTATTCATCTTAAATTGCTGACCTTTTTAGATTCGTAAAGGTTGCAGACGTGCAGTACATCTTTTGTTTCCTTTTTTTTGCCAACCAGTAAAAAGTTACCGTCGATTTAGATATGTGAAGGTTCTAGACTTGCAGCACATCTATTGTTTTTTCACTGTTCAAGAAGGCGCTATTAGGCGCTCGCCTAGGCATGCTTAAGCGCTGGGCGTTGGCATAGCACCTCATTTTGGCCCTAGGCGCTCAAAAAAGTGGCCGGCGAGGTTCTCCGGTGAGGAATCACGTTTCTCAGGCGAGAAATCAATCTCCCATGCAAGGATTTGACCTCTCCTGCGAGGATTCATCCTTACCGGCGAGGATTCAACCACTCTAACAACAAATTGAGCTTCTCCGCCGAGGGATCGAGCTTCTCCAGTGAGGGATCGAGCTTCTCCGGCGAGGGACCGAGGGAGGGGTAGAGGAAGAGGGAGAGAGGCCGCATCTTGCAGAAGGGAGAGAGGACGAGGGGAAGAGGCGGCGTGAGGAGGAAACCTACCTTTTTGTCGACTGTGCACATACGAGAGTTTAGTAGGAGAATAGGAAGATGGGCCTGTGGTTTAATGGGCTAGGCCAGCCCATCTAGCTTATTTCTTCAAGCTACAGTACTAACACCTAATCGCGCCTAATTTTGCCTAATCACGCCTAAGCTAGAAAAGCGCAAGTAGGTGGCCAAACGCATAATTAACGCCTAGGGATTTTTTGAACTTTGTTTTTTTGCCAACCAGCAAGACATCTATTGTCCATTAGCATGAAAACCATTTGATCTTGGTGGCCCTATGCAGCCTTATGGGTTGTATATTTGATTCAATTGCTAATGAACTTTTAGATGGTCATGTGCATCACTGTGTATACCAAAACCTTAATCAAAAAGCATACTTCTCTTAGATAACAACCCTTGGTGCTCTAATCCATCTCTTTTGAGCAACGAAGCCTAACACTCTATCTACATTATTAATGCATATTATCAAGTGGTACGAGAACTGTGTATAACTGGGTATCTATGGGTATCTTCAACTGCTGAGTGTTGACTGCTCTATAGTCCATGTTGTTGAATAAGTGAAGTCTTCCATACATTCTCTAGTGTGGTTGGCTTCATACAACACCTTTACTAGTATATCAAAGTGGAGGTTCCACCTGGTATTGTATGTATTATTGCTGCCACAGTGCATGATTGTAAATACTTACCATTAGAAATTGGAGACATCTTTTTATGTCCAAACTGACTTGGTGGTTCTTTTTGAATGTCACAAGAGATGGTAGGTCAAGGTGGAAAAACCAAACCTTGGAAGTCACAGGTTCCATGGCCTTGGCGGTTGTCATCATCTAGAGAGAGAGGTTCGATCCGTGGGATGTGATGGTTGACCAATCAGTGATCAGGTTAGGTTGGGTGGGGATTGACCCACCTATCCCTCCCTATCAATCAAGCATCAAGCAAAGGTACGGCTCCATCTTCTCCAACGCCGCTGATGCCTCCTCCGCCTCCACCTCCACCTCCAAGAGACGGCCATCTCTGGCGTCCTCCTCGCCGCCGTCTATGCCCCACCCCGCGGCTGCCTCTTTTCTGGTGAAGATGGAGTTCTGTGAGCAGTGTTTCTAGTTTCTCCGTGAGCAGTCTTTCTGTTTTGTCGTGACCAACAATGTTGCTACTGGCAAGCAGCACATTGGTTATGGTCTGGTTAGGGATTTCCTTGTCGAATACAAGGTCAGTAACTGACAAGTCGTTGCACCAAAAGAGAACAATGACCTTTGACTATATGGCTTAGTTGCTCGATTGTTTTTCAGGCTGTGAGAGAAGCGGAGAGGCTTGCAAGGTAAGCTTATTGACTTGGTTGGAGCAACCATGGGATATGGCCCAAGATCCACGATCCAGCCCTCAATCAAAGGTATCTATCTACCAAATCTAGTCATTTTCTTACCCTGAGATGTGTTGTTTGTTCATCCTCCAACCAAGAATAGTTGATATGTATGTACATTCACACTTAATTGCTTGCAGTTATGTCGCATGTCTCCTATGTTTCTTCTCCAGTCTCCTGATACAACGCACTTGATGAGCCTGAGTCGGAGGTGTGCCATGAGGAAGGCGTGCTGGACTGCAGGCAACACGCCCTTGTCGCCGCCCTCTGCCTCGTTGCCCATGCGTCTGGCGCTGCCTGACTCGGATGCTAGAAGCTGGCCGCTCCCAACCTAGGCGGCTCCCGATTTGGCCGCCTGGGCCTTATTCTGGAGCTGCATAGGAAGACAAGTACACCAAGTGGACAACACGAACCTACGACACAGCCGTCGTCCATGTCCTTATCTTCTCCATCGCCAGCCTATATCCGTGTTCTGCTCTCCTTCCATCCCACTAGCATTGAATCATAGCAGTTTGATAATTGATAATTGCAGTTTGGGAATTAAAATTCAGATCCTGGTTGCGTTGCTGTACTACAGTTTTACATTTGATAATTGCAGTCTGGAATGTTATTTTTTAGATGGTTCCTAAATTCAGTTCTGGTTGTGAATTCAGGTAATTGTTTCAAGGCTGCTCCCAGCAACCATGGCAGCGGATCCGCAACCTCAGTCTCCTTCTCCACAAGCACACATTGGCAGAGGAGTTAGGGGCTTTGTTCATGGGCCGCCGCCATGGATGGCAGCTGCATCCATGGAGAGTGTCAACATGTGGACGTGGATGTAACACACCGGATTCGATGCGCCAGGTGTCTGCCAGTTATTTGCCGCCGTTGCCATGTCATTTTCTTGCGTGTTGCATTTTGTCATGTCATTATGTGCATTGCATTGCATACGTGTTCGCCTCATGCATCCGAGCATTTTCCCCGTTGTCCGTTTTGCAATCTGGCACTCCTATGCCCTCCGGCGTCCCCCTTTTGTCTCTCGTTGTGAGCGGGTGTTAAACTTTCTCGGAATGGCCCGAGGTTTGCCAAGCGGCCTTGGTATAGCACCGGTAGACCGCATGTCAAGTTTCGTGCCATTTGGAGGTCGTTTGGTACTCCAACGGTTAACCGGATAACCGTAAAAGCCCCTCTCTCTTTGCAGCCCAACACCCCTCCAAACTGGCCCAAAACCCAGCAAACTCCCCTCCATGCTCTCGGTCGTTCGATCACGATCGTGTGGCCGAAAACCGTTCTCCAATTGGACTCTCCTAGCTCCCAGAAACTATAAATATGTGCCTCCCGTCCAAATTCGCGGATGAAAACCCTAGACTTCTTCCCCTCGCCGCCGGCGCGCCGCCGCGCCTCGCCCCTGCATGCCCCTCCGCCCCGCCGCCCGGTGCCGCCTCCCGGCCGTCCGGCGAGCTGCGCCGCTGCCCCGCGCCGGCCCTCCTCACCGGCCTCGCCGCCTCCGGTCGCCGGAGCTCGCCGGAGGAGCTCCGCGCCGCGCTTCTCCGCCCTCGCCTCCTCCCCGCGCCCCTCCGCTCCGGTCCCGCCGCCCCTCGTCGACCGTGCCTCGCCGAAGAGCTCGCCAGAGCTCTCCTCCGGCCAGATCCGCCCCGGGGCTGGACCAGATCCACCAACGCAGCGAACCAAACGGGCCGCGGCACCGCTGCGTCCCGCGGGATCCCCTCGTCCACTTTCCCCCGAGGTCCATTTTTCTCTAAGTTGCAGAGTCTGTGATATTTTCATGCCATGTTCATCGCATCATATCTCTGTATCCATAGCTCCGTTTTGTGCGTGTGGCATATCAAATTGTTCGTCTCGACGAGTACTTCATTTAATTCTATTGCATCATGTTCATTTGAGCTCATCTTGATGCCTGAATCATCGTTGCAAGAGTGCTTCATAATGTTGTCTGTTGTCTGTTAACAGAACTTGCTCTTTTGTCATTTTTGCCATGCATCCTATGAGGTTGATGTCTACATGTGTTTTGAACTATGCCATGTCTTCTTTACAGAGGTGCTTACCATGTATTTTTGTGATCTCTTTGGTGACTAGCACAAGCATGCAAACTAGGCTTAGTAATGTTGCTGTTTTTAGTCCCTGTTCTGCTGTTATTTTGATGCCATGTAAACTTGATACTACAGAGAGATCCATGCATATTTTGAGATACTTCAGTAAGGATGTTTTGAACATATGGTTATTCTCTATCCATTCGTGCCCCTGTTTGCAATTATGGAGTAGTCTAGCATGTCATTTACTTTCTCTACTTTTGCTACAAAATGTTTCCTGGCAGATTGTTTACATGTTATTCAATTTTGCCAAGGGTGTTGTAGTTGATCCTTGCATGCTATGAACTTGTTGTAATCTTGCTCCAAAGTTGCTAAATAATGTTGTTGTCAGCCTGTTAACATTAAGTTCAGTTGTTGCCATGCTTGTTGTTAGTGATCCATGCACCCTATGAACTTGCTCTTGCCATGCTTATCTTCATAAATATGTCTTCTTACTGTTGGTTGCCTTGCCATGCCATGTATTGCTCTGTGGTGAGTGGTACAATCTCATCTACATGCCTACTTATCATTGTTCCTGCCATGTTTGAATCTGTCTTATAACTTGCTATGTTTACATGGGTGCCATCATATCTTTTGATCCTTTTTGGCTCATGGTCAGTAAAGGACTTTTGTTCTATGCAATTAGTAAATTCATGACATGCCTTTGTTTGCCATGATAAGTTCCTGTAACATGTTGTTTGATAGCTCTGAACATTGCAACCTGATGTTATTTTCTGCAAAGTCTGAACTGTTATTATTTGCAATCTTACCATGTGTGTTTGAGCATGTTCTAGTGATTTATGGAGATAGCTCAGTGTTCATGTTTTGTTATGCTTTACCTGTACATCATGTCCATGCCTTTTGTTTTCATATTGTGGTACTGTAGCATGTTGTTTTGGTGCTTGCAATATGCCTAGTTGCTGTTTTGGACAGATTGTTGCTATAACTTGTATAGTGTGTGTGTGTTGAACCGTTGCTCCGTTTTGAGTGTGCTCTATATGAAACTTGCTTAGAATTGCATGTAGTTTCATATTATCATGTTGAATCCTTGTTTTGAGGTGTTTTCTTGATGTTTGGGTGCATTTTGCATCAATGCCATGTTTAACTTGCTTTGCTCATATCTTCTAGGCCGTAGCCCCGAACTAAATGAACTTTATATGTAACTTGACTAGAATTTCGTGTAGATCATCTTTGTGCATCTTAACTTGATGTTTAACAACTTGAACATAAGGTTTATTCAGATCTGGACCAACTTTGAAATTTGCATATGAGGACTTACCGGAATTGTTATATGTTGTTCCCGGCCTCATTTAAACTTGCCTTGATGTGTTGCTCTTGTTTGCATCATCTCTTGCCATGAGTAGCCTCATCTAGATTTGTCATGCATCATGCTTGTTGTGCATCATGTCAATTTCATGTGTGGTGTGTTTACCTTGTTGCGTGCTTCTTCTCGATAGTTCCCGTTTCGTTGCGATCGTGAGGATTCGTTCGTCTACGCTTGGTTCGGCTTCATCCGTTCGTCTTCTTCATGGACTCGTTCTTCTTCCTTGCGGGATTTCAGGCAAGATGACCGCTACCCTAGATCTCACTACTATCATTGCTATGTTAGTTGCTTCGTTCTATCGCTATGCTGGGTTACCTATCTTTTGCTCATCAAGCCTCCCAAATTGCCATGAACCTCTAACCTTTGACACCCTTCCTAGCAAACCGTTGCTTGGCTATGTTACCGCTTTGCTCAGCCCCTCTTATAGCGTTGTTAGTTGTAGGTGAAGTTGAAGATTGCTCCATGGTGGACAGGATTATGTTGGGATATCACAATATCTCTTATATTATTACTAATGCATCTATATACTTGGTAAAGGGTGGAAGACTCGGCCTTATGCCTGGTGTTTTGTTCCACTCTTGCCACCCTAGTTTCCGTCATACCGGTGTTATGTTCCCGGATTTTGCGTTCCTTACGCGGTTGGGTGATTTATGGGACCCCCTTGACAGTTCGCTTTGAATAAAACTCCTCCAGCAAGGCCCAACCTTGGTTTTACCATTTGCCTCACCTAGCCCTTTTTCCCTTGGGAGTCGCCCTCTCGAGGGTCATCTTTATTTTAGCCCCCCCCGGGCCAATGCTTGTCTAAGTGTTGGTCCAAACCGAGCGATGTCCGGCGCCCCCTGGGCAACCAGGGTCTATGCCAACCCGACGTCTGGCTCATCCGATGTGCCCTGAGAACGAGATATGTGCAGCTCCTATCGGGATTTGTTGGCACAGCGGGAGGCTTTGCTGGTCTTGTTTTACCATTGTCGAAATGTCTTGTAAACCGGGATTCCGAGTCTGATCGGGTCTTCCTGGGAGAAGGTATATCCTTCGTTGATCGCGAGAGCTTATCATGGGCTAAGTTGGGACACCCCTGCAGGGTATAATCTTTCGAAAGCCGTGCCTGC